CAAAGTACAAAATCGATAGATAGGCACCCAATATTTTTTTCTTCAGTTATTGCTACTCAGAAAGAGAGTGTTCGATCCCTTCTCAGTTTGTTGGATGAGAAGCCTCCATCGCACTATTTCTCGTGTCAGCTTGAGTATGTACATTATCTTACTGGATTGGAGAAACATGAAACTATACTAACTCCCTTACACGCACCTGGTGACAAGAAAACAAATGTATTGGACTTTCTAACGGCTGAATTTGCATAGATGATAAACAGGGAAATGGTTCAGACTGCTATTGATGACCCGTGGCATATTATCAAGTTTCAGGGGTCCACCTCCAGTAATGACTTATGTCATATTGCTGCCAAGAATGGGATATTACTTAAACCAATCAATACTCTTCATAGTTTGAATGAGGTAACGCGTCTAGCTTCCGTAGCTGGTGGTAGTAGGTTCCCTAAAGATGGTCTAGCTCTACAACCACGAGCTGGTCATCAAGTATTGATACAATGAAGAGATCTACCTGCATCTGAAGAATTTCCACCTCGAGTACAAGGTTTCTTTGGAACCGGGGGTAATGATAAGCCCCCATCCGTTGTACATATTCTTGAAGGGCAATGTAGATTGGAGAAACATCTGGAAGCAGTTAGAGGGCAGCCAAGATCTGTTAAAAGGCAACAACAATCTGTTGGAAACAAAGGAAGTTAGAAGATAGAAATTAGGAGAGAGGGATCATTAAGGCAGGCAATTGAGTGAAAGGGAGGCTTAGGAGAGTTGTAGTCCTCTCAAATGACTACTTGTTATCTTTCTTTCTTGCTGTACTTCAAATTCCAGCAATACAAAGCTATTCTCTTAGTTCTAATTGAATTCGGTCCTTTTTACAGTTAGAACCCTACCAAGGACATGGTGTTCTTTTGCCGCTAGTTATTAACAGGCAGTTTGCTATACTTAAAAACAGTTTTGAGTAAATACAATTTTTTCTTTGTATACAGTGCTGTGCATGACACAAAAGGCTGATACCTATTTCAGCCTTCGAAACGAAAATATCCAATGATGTGAGGCATTCTTGTCAACTTACTGATAAATGGTTGACGTGTATGGTGTCTCGTGAAGAGTTTTGTGATGTAATTTCTTTTAAATAAGTTTAAATTAATCGACTCTCAATGTTTGAACTGCAGGCTGTTTTCAGTGACACGGAAGAAATTTGTGCTATCGATTGATGAACCAAGCAATGAGGTCGGTCTATTACTGATATAAACTATAAACAAAATGAGATGTAGAATACTACAATAAATTGTCTAAGAAATACCCTTTTTCTTGTGTAACAATTAGATTGTAAATTAAATAAGGAATCAAAATATTAGGAAAATAGTCGAACAAAATCTGGAAAATGCTTCAAACTTACAGAACGTGGAAATATTTCTATACCCTTCATAGCTACTACAATTTTAGTCAGGTCTGATGTTAGTGCTAACTTTTTCTGGGGACTGCAGATTGTTATCTGGGATGCTCTCACGACAGAGGAAGTGGCTAGATGGGCCTTCAACCATATTGTTTCACCTCGTTGGCTCGAACATTCACCTGTAGATACAGTATTTGTTATGTGTGGAACGGACCGTTCAGTAAGGTTCTGGAAGGAAGCAAATTAGATACATTGTGAAAGCATCGGTGGCATCTTCGGCAAGTTGGATTGGACTGCATTGGATAGTATCAAGGACGAAAACTAGTTAAAATTTCATTTATTGTACTATGTGACGCTATAAACTAGTGCATATCAATAATGCACGACGAAAGGGGCTTGCGTCCTACAGACAACCATGGAAAGCCCACAAAATTACATATATTTTACTGGTTTTTCATCCCAGCCAGTAAATGAACCAAATTTACAGAATTTCTTACCAGTCATAAGATTTCTGTCTTTTAAAAGGAAATTTGTGTGTGCATCGTGAATTTAATGAATTTGGCTTGGACTCCATAAGCGGTCTTAATTTTTTTTCGAGAATCGGGTTATCTTTCTTGAACGTGGATATGAAAATGAAGCCCTTGTTTGGTTTAGCTAAAAAAAGCATTTAGCAGATTTTTATAGAAGTTGATTAAAATTGTAGGTCATATAAAATGTATGATTAAAAATTGAGTTTGGAAAAAATAGGGGCAAAGTAATTCTTGAGTTAACTCCAAAACCTTCAATATATACGATGATGTTAGGCTTGGTTTGATTTTCATTATTTTAAAACTCTTTTTCAGTCACACATTGTCAAAATAAAATATTCTGAACGTAAATTTGAAATTTTTTCTTATTTTTTAACCACACACTTTCCAACAATTTCCTATTGCAAAACTCATTTTCTTGAAATAATGGGCATCAAACATGCGTTAAACTATGATCAACTTCTTTTATTTACACCATGTTTGAGTCACATTATTCTCCCAATAATGCATTTTAAATAGTGTTTTGATGGAAAATGTGGTTAAAAATTAAGGAAAAGTTTTGAATTTGCGTGTAATATTATTTTATTGAAAAATATGTAATAGAAAATAAAAGAGAAAAATGTATTTTTAGAATAATGGAAACGATGTGGTGTGTATGGTGGGTATTAGAAATTGAAAAGACGAAAATGGGTATTTAGGAAAAAAAAAGAAAGAAAGAAAAACTTCTTTGCGTAGCATGGGGGTATAATGATGATTTCATATC